AAAAAAAAAAAAAAAAAAAAGGAAAGAGTAAAGGAGGGAATCTCAGAATAAAAAACAAGGGTTGGGGCCGCGGCCTGTAGCAGGCTCCCTCCACCCTCATTCTAGCTATGCACAAATACAAAAGCCTTCTGGGGGAGAAGGGGTCCTATACGGGCGAGGAAAGGGAGGGGTGCAGACCCAGGAGAGACGTACAGGGAAGTGGGGGTCAACTGGCTAATCCAAAAATAAATAAAAACGGGCGGGGAGGGGTTGAGGGAGTGGGGAGAAGGCAGAAAGAGGGCAGTTAGTAAGGGAGCCGGACGACGTCAGGGCGGCAGGGCAGGGGCTGGGCCCGGGGAGTGGGGGGCAGGCAGTAGCATCCAAGTGGAGTTGCTGCGGGGAGAGGGGGAGGAGGCTGCGGCTGAGGTGTCCGCCCCCTCCCGGCTCACTCGAGGTCCTCAGTCAGCTGCAGGCTGGGGCGCTGGGAAGACAGTGGCAGGTTACGAGGGCTTCTGATCTCACCCCTAGAACGCACACGTATTCCCTAATCTCTTAGAAGAGCTTCGTTTAGACTTTTCACGTTCTGTGCCTTGTTTGGGTGGTGCTTTCCCCACATTTTCAATCCATCCATCCATCCATCCATCCATTGAGATGGGGTTTTGCTAAATTCCCCAGTCTGGCCCCAAACTTTCAATCCTCCTGCCTCACTCTCCTAAGAAGGTGGGATTAAAGGTGCGTACTCCAATGGCCTGCTATATCCTAGATGTTGAATGATTGGATTTCTTCAAGTGACACCTTCTCAGGGACACATTGTCTGAACCTCTTCTCAAAACTAGTCCCCGACACACTATTTGGAATGATCTCATTTGCACGCTTCGCCTTGTCTGGAGAAGGAGAAAGGGCCCCATCACGCCTCGCAAGCGCAAGGTCCCGAGTTCAGTCCCCATTACCAAAAGAAGAAAAGCTTAGAAGTGGAATTACTGAATCAAAGAACATGAATGTGTGAAATCTGGATAAATGTTGCTAGACTTGGAAACTGCGGGCTTAGTAGTTTCCCTTATACCTTCACAAATGCTGGGTGTTGTCAATTGAAAAAAAATCTTTGTCAGGCTGATGGGTGGGATATAATTCCTGACTATTGTTTTAATTAATATTTTTAAATGTAGCAAGTTAGCCTGGCACAATGATACATGCCTATAATCCCAGCATTCAGGAGGCTGAGGCAGGAGGATGACAAGTTTGAGCCTAGCCTGGGCTACATATCAAGTTCAGGGCCAGTCTAGGATATATAGTGAGACCCTGTTGTTAAAAAAAAAAAAAAAAAAAGTAGCAGGTTGAGCAGGTTTTAATATACTCAGTGAACACTGCTGGTAGTAAGATCTACCTCCCCCACTGGGCTGTGGATTCTGAGCGCAGGGATGGAACCTGTGCTCCAAGAGGGGTCACCTAGGATCAACCTCCCCAGTGCTGGTGGCACTCCCTTCACCCCCTCCTCTCACCTCCTGCCACCTGTCCCCTGCTTCAGTGGTACCCATTGGTGAAGGCTGTGGCAATCAAGGGACCCTGGAAAGAAAAGAATTAGACTCCTAGAATCCTAGGGAAAATGCAGGAAGCTCCAGGGCTCCCTCTTTCTCCTGCAGAGACCTGAGGAGAAGCCAGGCCCTTCTCTCTCCTGCCCACGGTATTGCTACTGCACACCAGTTAAAAGATTATCCAAGGCAGGGCCTGGTTAAGACGAGGGCACCCTCGCGTGGGAATCTAAGCTCCATGAAGGTAGACATGGGGTGTGTGTCCCACCTGTACAACATCCCAGAACTCAGCTGAGGCCAGCATATAGGTGATGATTAAATGCCCCACTACAAGAGTGCTAACCCTTCTCACTGTCGCCCCTTAGTGACACTTGTTTTCTTTCATCCATCATCCCTTGTCCCCATTCCCCAACCTTTTGCCCAAGAAGACAGGAAAAACTTCTCCCTCCTCCCACTCTGGGGTCCCCCAGGGTGGGGGGTGAGGTGGAGGCTGCCAGGCCCGTCCACTCACCCCAAGACTGTGGCCAAAGCCGGTGCTGGGGGCGGGGCTGGCGGCGCTGATGTAGCTGCTGACCCCTGAGTCCTGGTTGGCCGCCCCATAGAGCTCAGCCATGGGGCCAGGGCTGGTGGTCCCCAGGAAGCCCCCTGTGCGGCTGGGAGTCGAACCTGGAGGGGGAGCCATCGTCCAGGGGTGAGAGCCTGGCAACCCAGAAAGAAGACAGTGATAGCCCCGGCGCCTGTGGTCTCCACAGCACCCTCTCCAACCTCTTCCTCCCAGCGGACCCTAACCTTCGCACCCCGGCGCACCCTGCGGTCTCCCTCTGGAGGTCTCAGTCTTTAACATCACCACCACCTGTCTGACGGCTCAGCACTTACCCCTCTTTCTGTTTTCTTCCTCTTTCTTTCCTCCCTCTTCCCCTCTCTTTCGAGTTCTTGTTTTTTTTCTTTTCGGTCTCCTCTTTTGAGCCTCTGCAAATCTTTCTCCGCCTTTCAGCCCAGTACATTTTCTAAACCCAACCTACGTCACTCTGTGGCTTGAAAGTCTATGATGCTCCACTATCTGCTCCTGGACTCTGCTGGGCCGAATGGTCTCCAGGCCTTTGCACATGCAGTGTTTCTTCAGCGAGCAACACTTCTCCTCCTCCTTCTCTGCCCTCCCTTCCGGAAGCCTTTCCCGGACTTCTTAGAGGCCCCAGCTGGGAGCTCCTGGGGTACCTGACTCCCCTCAGAGCAGCAGCAACTCCATCCTTCAGTACTACGGCCTTTTAAATCCTGAAGCTTCTAGAGCCTGTAAGCTTTGAGATTCTGTTAGGGTCACTCCTGGCTGGCCTATCAGTAACGGCACAATGTCCAGCAGAGCGGGAGCTCAGCTAATACTCGATTCAGTGCATGAATCCCTCTGCCAAGGGGTAGAAGTAGCCACCTATTCTGCCCTCTGCATTTCTCTGCCCTCGTATTCCTTTCCCAGAAGGCCTCACCTGTCCCTCGAACTACAGCTGCTGCCGCCGCTGCCGCCGCCATTGGTCCGTAAGCAGTGAGGGGAATGGCTGAAAAGAAAGGTTTAGGCATTTCAGCACGGCCAGGGGGAGGTGCGGAGGAGATGAAGGAGGCCCCTGCTTTCTGGAGAGAGCCTCGGTAACCTAACCCCATCTCAGAGGGATCAGTGCAGTCCCAGGGTCAAGGCAGGAAGGGCTAGCAGGGGCCACCATCCTGTGCCCTGACCTAATGGATGGGAAAAAAGTAGGAGTGGGGACAGTTTCTCAGGGAGCAGCTCAGCCTGTGTCTTCCCATGATTCAAAGGACACTTGAACAACTCAATGCTGATAGAAGGTGGCCCTGTGCTACTGTGGGTGTTGCTGGCCACAGTTGCCCTTTCTCCACAGTGCCCTGGGCAGGAAAAGGTCACTAGCCCAGAGGTTACTGGGAGGTTATAGTGACTGACTGGCACCAGGTACAGAAAGCCAGGCCTATTGCCTCAAGGTGGGGCCAACTCTGCAATTCAGGCCCCAGAGGACCCCGTGGGGTCAGGCGGAGGGCAGGACTCCAGTTGGGGTCACAGCTTCTGCTGTGTGTCCTGTGTCCCTCACTTTCTTTCTCTCGAGAGTGACCTCAGGGCCTCCCTGATCACCTACCCTGAAATGATCCTCCCTATTCCCTTGGACACAGGGATCCTGCTCTTCCCGTGTTGGTTTTCTACCTCTGCTCCCTCTGCACAGCACCCAGTACTTTACCCTGCACACAGCAGGCATTTAATAAATGGCTACAGAGGGCTTAGGTGAGCACCCTACTGCTTAGATGAGCACCTCTACTGCCCTGATGCAGCAACCCCACGGGGCTCTAACCCTTGAGTGCAGTGAGGTCTTCAGGACACCAGGTTCCCACATCCCAAGATGTGCTCCTTGGGGCTGTCTTGGGGACCCTGGCCCTCAGCCGGAACTAGATCCAGGACCAGGGACTGGAGTCCTTCCCAGGGGATTCGCGAGGCTGGCTCCTCTCTCTCACATCACCTTCTCTGAGTAACCTTCCTTGATCACTCTCCCCGAGGGTATCCCTTGCCACAATCCCCACACCCCAGCCCAGCTTCGTGCTTTATTTTCCTCGTGGAACCTGTCACCCTCTGGGAATATTTCACTTACTTGTTCACGCCTATCTCCCTCCTCTAGAATACCAGATCCTGGAAGGTAGGGGCTTTGACGCATTCACTGTCACCAAGTGCCTGACCCAGCGTTGGCACGATAAATATGTACCGAACATACAGAGGAAACACCTGAGCCTTTTCTCCAAGGCGAGAGAAAATTCACGCCTTGGAACCCCAGGAATGGCTAATCCCAGAACTTATTTCCACTTTGATCAAGATATCTGCAGAGAGGAAATCTGTTGGCTCGGTTCTGCAGGGGCAGGGGCAGGAGCTGGGTCCTCCAGATTGGATTTGGCCCATTTCCACAAAGCAAACTCAGAGCAGCCAGCATCAGCGAGTACTGATCACGGCCGTAAAGATGACTTCTGCGTATGAGAAGTATTTGTCTCCTCTCTAGACTGGCTCTGTTCTGTCCCTGCTGTGCACGGAACTTGGCAGTGTGTGCTCTACACAGCAGGCTCTCGACACACAGTAGGGAGAGCTGCGTTCTTGGAAGGGCAACCATCACCAGGGTTCTCCTCCCTTCCTTCCTTCCCTCCGTGACTCCCTTCCCTCTCCTCCACTTCGGGGGACCCTGAGTGCCCCTTGGCAGGAAGATCTCATCTATAGCAGCATCCATGCTCGCGTCCTCCACACATGCCTGGTTTGGGGGAAGAGTCTGGGGTGGGGTGGGGGGAAGCAGGTTGGACAGAGAAACCCCTCATGTGCACAGAGCCCCCCACTTGGTCTTGCCCCAGCTCCGCAGCTGACTGGTTGGCTCGAGCAAAGGCTCCAGCCAGAGAAATGGCCTGTGGTGGCCAAGCACCTTCATCTCCCTTTCCCAGAAGGCACAAACAGGTAGCTGTAGGGCCAGCTTTGGCCCTTGGATGTGTTTCATTTGGCCTGCAAGTGTTCTGATTACTTGGACTTTGTTGCCAATATTTCAAAGTAATCAAAGAATTCGTGTGAAGGCAAAAGTAGGGTTTCTGGCTCCTCTGGAAAGATGAGAACTGGGAGCATTGGGTCCGCATCCCCATCTGGCGAGGCTGGGCTGGCACCGAGTACAGGCATGTCCACTGCTGGGCTCTAAGTCCCCCGCCCTCTGCTGGCCCACTGTGCCTGTTCACCGCTGGATCCCAGAGCCTCTGTGGTGCCTGGCACATGGGAGGTGCTAGATAAATATTTGCCAAATGGATGAATAGTGACTTTGCCTCCATCTGTTTGGCTTGGCCCTAAACCCCACGCTTGAGGGCCATGTCGCTGTAAAGACCGGCCGGTGCCCAGGCCCAGTCGTGTAGGAGCAAAGGGTCCTGCTAGCTGTCCCCGGGAAGGTCCCTGGGCCCTTGTCTTTCTCCCCACGTGGCCTATGAGATGTATGAAATCCGAGCGACTGACCTGTAAGCTCGGGGAGGACTGGGGCGCTCGGGAGAGGGGTCCGCTCTACACGGAATTCTAAAATGAAACGTAAAACAGCTTAGGAAGAAGTAGGGGAGGCCCTCAGGCATGGCCCAGGGAGGACAAATGTACCCACAGGGACACTAGATGAGGGGACAGGCCATGCACAAGACCCAAGAGCTGAGGATGGGGAAAGTCCTCAGTAGGCAGAGGAGGGGAAGGAGACACAGAGAGGAGAAACAGAGAGAAAGAGCAGGCAGAGGTGCCACCTATACCGTGGGGATGGGGAGATAATGGAGATGCAAGTCCGGGTGCTTCTTAAAAGGCCTAGGATGAAGCCAGACATGGTGCAGCACACTTATGATGCCTGCTGTTCAGGAGGCTGAGGCAGGAGGAATGCAAGTTTGAGGTCAGCCTGGGCAACTTAGTGAGTCCCTATCTAAAAATAAAATTCAAAACAGCTGATTATGTAGCTCAGTGGTACAGCATTTGACTAGCATGCATGAGGACCTGGATTCAATCCCTAGCACCATAAAATGAAACAGAATAGGTTTAGCATTACACCCCCAGAGTGTCTCTCTCTCTCAGTGTCTCTCTCTCTCTCTCTCTCTTCTTTAGATGGAAAGGGAAATGAAGAGGAGGCAGTTTGACTAAAATCAACGGCCTCAGAATGGGTCTGACTCAGGCTTAGGTTCAATTCCCAGCACCTCTACTTTCTAATCAAGAGATTGTAGAAAGTCATTTTCCTCTGCAAGCCTGGATCCTCATTAAAAAAAGGGGGGGGGATACTTATCCTTCCCACGAGATTTTTGGGAGGATTAAACAACAAAATATATTCAAAGAATTCCAAGTTCAAAAGCCCATGGGGCAGACAATATGTACCTTCAAGTAAATAAGACTAAAAACTGGGCCAGGGCAGAACTCAGCAATAGAGCACTGGCTTAGAAAACACAAGGCCCCGGCTTCTGTCCCAGTGCTATATAAATAAATACATACCTATGTATACAAATAAGGGCCTGTAACAGTGATATTTCAAAGGAAACATCAGATAGTCACCACAGGACAATCCAAGACTTTGTTGGGTTTCCAGGCACTTATTTAAGGTCTAATCTTATTTTTATGTTGCATTATAAATAAGGGTGGTGATTAGACTTTTTGGTTATTTTTCAGTTTTGGGGATCTCAAAAGGGCTTGAGGTGCCTTGGAAGGGCTCATCGTAGCACCTGATCGCGGTCCACGTGTCTGCGAAGGCACAGCCCACACTGGCGCTTGGGGAGGTCCCCTGGCTGCAAGCCCAGTGCCCCTCGGGTGAAAGTGGCAACTCTGTGCTCAGGTAGAAAGAATGGAAAAAGACAGGAGGCAGGCAGAGAACAGCCTGGGAGAGAACGGTGCCATGCAGGGCCACACCACGAGCCCCTGCCCCGGCTTCTAGGGACGGGGTTAGGGGACCCTCCTTCCTGAGACACGCCCTTCCGTCCAAGCCTGCAGCAGGCAGACGCCCAGCCATGCACCCGACACCGCCCTGAGGAGTCAGCCCGCCTGTGAGCCGGGGCGTGCTGGCCGAAGAGGGACACCGCGCAGGACTCACCGGGGAACTGGTAGGTGTAGCCGGGGGCAAGGCCTGTGTAACTCCGGCTGGCGTAGGTCGTAGCCTGGAAACCTGGATAACCTGAGGGGGGCAAAAAGGCAGTGTAAGGTGCCTCATCCACAGCTCAGACCCTGCGGGGGCTGGGGGGAAGCATCTGAGCCCCTCACTCCCCTCTCCCACACCCGGCACCCAGAAAAATCCTGTCACCTTCCCAAACTCCTTCTGTATCTCAAGCCCTGCGCTAAGCACCGTGTACACTTCTTTCTTCATCACAAACTTCAAAAGCAAATAGTACCTAACAGGTAGGTGATATCAGGAGCATCATTTTACAGACAAGAAAACCGAGGCTCAGAAAAGCAACACTTAGTGGCCGAGTATCATTCACATCCTAACCAAAGCCCTTTGTGCGTTGGCTCCTATTTCCATCTTTTCCTCATTTTCTACATAGCCTCCGCCCCTGTTCTAGCCACATTGGCTTTCTTGCTATTTCTTGCCAAACTCTTTCCTACCTCGGGATCCTTGCACAGGCTGCCGCGTCTGCCTGGACACTGTTCCCCAGGAGACTAGTCAGTCCTTACGGTGCAACTCTCAGAAGTTTTCCTGCAGCATCTCTCCTTCCTATTGGTTATAGTCACTACTATGTCAGCCTGGCTTTTCCTTTCAGAGAATTGATGATCATTGTCTGAATTTATGATTGCTTCAAGCACTAATCTTTTGTCTTCCCCAAAGAAAAACTGGGATTCAAATTCAGGTCTGGCTGGCTCTAAGGCTCTTAAAATTAGTATTTTTGTTGGGCGTGTGGTGCACGCCTGTAATCCCAGCACTTGGGAGAATGAGGCAGGAGCGTCACTGTGAGTTCAAGGCCAGTCTGGACTACAAAGTGAGACACCGTCTCAAAAAATGAAATAAAAATATTTTCTTTTTAAATAAGCATGAAGCCAGCTCATGAATCACTTAAAAAAAACAGACAAAATTTTTCTTAATGTGCCAGACTGAAGGAAACTAAAGAGACAGAACAACCTAATGCAACACCTGACTCTAGCCCAGTATCAAAAATGCTGCCAGAACTAGCCATGGTGGTACAGGCCTAAAATCCCAGCTATGTGAGAGGCTGATGCAAGAGGGCTGTGGTCTGCTTGGTTTTGTGTTTTTTTTGTTACCGGTGATTGAACTCAGGCCCTTGTGCTTTCGAGGCAGATGTCAGAACTGGAACCACTGAGCCAAATCCCTGGCCCTGGTTTGCTTTGTTTTGTCTTTTGAGACAAAGTCTCACTATGTAGCCCAGGTTGGCTTTGAACTTGCAGTGGTCCTCCTCAGCCCTCCAAATACTCCGGTTATAGGCTTGTGTCACCCACTGAGGACTGTAATTTTTGAGGCCAGCCTGTCCCAAAATAAAACAGAAAAGGGCTGGGGATGTAGCTTAAACCCAGAGCCCTGGGTTCAATCCCCAGCACCAAAAAAAAAAAAAG